CCTCTCTCAGAGGCTGAACAAGAGCGGAAATTCAATAACAAAAATATGCACTAGTAATTAAGGTAAAAAGTCATCTTAATTGGTTCTTTGTCGCAGCACCCTCCCATCAAGCTGGGCATGGCGCCCGCCTGAAGAAGTAAATACACGGTGAAAGAATCAAGAAAAGAAAATCCCAATTGCAAGAGCTGTCCATACATAAATATCGGGATACTGAAGCCGGAATCTTGCGTCGAATCCTCTCACGGTCGGCCTTGATTCCCCTCTTGCGCCACCTTCGTGGCAACCACCCGAATGCTAGAGGCTCCGCGAAGTTTACGGACTGAAGAATACGATGCCGAAAAGGTGCCAAAATCTTCCAATGGACGAGTCGAAAAGGCCTTGGTGCGCGAAGTGCGCTTCATGGACCTTGTCCGATGTGACCCATTCATTAGTTGTGATGGCCGACGCTGATACTGACGAAGCAATATCGTCCAACTCAATTGAGTATGTAGTTGTCGTCCTTCAATTATTCTTGAGTTTCTTTTAGGCAGTTTCTCAAGGATCCAGATGCCAGTGACCTCGACCGCAGCGACCGTCGCCCTCCAGCAGTGTCTCGCTGCACTGGCCTTCCTTCACGACTGTGCGCCGCAACGGGTTCGGGGATCTTGTCGAGCTAATGATCCAACACTACCCGACCATCAATCAGGGATGGGGAGACAATGCCACGCTGATGTGGGCGGCCGCAAACGCAGACTCTCTCGGAGTCGCGAAGATCTACTTGAAACATGGCACTAAGTGCTGTACGAGGCCATAGAGGCCATATTGTCACGGCAGGGATCATAATTGGCGGCGTCCCCTGCCCGGAAGGAAGAAATTATTGTCGGAAGTGTATCGCAAAGTAGAATTTGATGTCAAGATATCTAGTAGGTATAGTTATGCTCAAAGCATTCGCTCAGACATCGTAGCTGTTCATAAGGTTGACCGTCAGGATGTGTGGCAGCTGCCTCGTCTAATTTTTCAAATGCATTTCGGCGACTTCAAATCCCGGGGCCATCACTAATGACAGAACACACACCTGACCTAACTTCTTTGGATGGATCGCCTCCTTCGGGTATTCGGTATGAGGATTGAGAGACCTCACAAGACTAAGTTACGTGATAACGGCTTCTTCTTTTGATGGTCATACATGCTCCCACAAACGTTCTTCTAGCTGTCATCATCGCCTCTTCTCCTTCTCGGCTATATATAATAAAACACGGCGTCATCGCCGTCGCCAGAGTGCCAAAGGGGCCCGTGTCGAGCACCCTTATGCAACTATTACAATTAATACACGCCTAGGCGGTGGTTCACGCATGCCAACACTCCTCTACAAGGGGGTACCGGCTCTAAATCTCCAGCAGCCTTGTCTTGGACTCCGCAACCGCAAACTCCTCCTCTGCTTGGTCTGACTCCTCAGCGCCATTCTCCAAGATCATTTCAGGGTCTTCAGCCGGCCGAAATCCAGTGTCCATGAGTTCCAAGCCCTCGGACGCATCGTCGTTATCGTCGTCGTTTTCATTGTTCTCTAGTGCAGCAAGGCGGGCTGCACGACCCTCCTTTTTACGTGGCACGGGCGCTGAGAGATAGGAGTCAGTCACGGAGCCCAAAGCTACAAATGGGGTGGCCAAAACTTACCTCGTCCATTCTCTTGGACGTAAAACTTTCGCAAAAGCCCCACGGCATCATCACGGCCCCAGCCTCCTTCGATCTCATAACCAGGCTCAACGTTGCCTCCATCTCCGCCACTAGGAGGAAAAGAGGTTCCAAGAATCTGCCCACGACCAGGGAGTCGAATGGGTGGTGGCTGGGGGTGCGCACTCATCGACGGTCCCTCGCTACTAACGGGGAGGGAATTGGCGTGGATGCTGAAGACGCCACCGGTGCCACCAAACTTGTCATTAACTGCGCCAAAGTAGACCTTCTTAATGCCGAGCTGTCGAAGGAGTGAAGCGCACATGACACAGGGCTCTACGGTCACGTAGAGCACGCATTCGCGGATAATAGCTCGGTCAACCTTGGCATCAGGGTGCTCTTTCTGCCCATACGGATACAAGTGCCCCTTCCTGCCATCCTCATTGCCCTCGTCGGGGGAAGCTGAGTAGGAAGAAGCGCTGTCTTCCGACATGTTCTCCGGCTTGACCTCCACCTTGGGCTTGAGCGACGTTGTCCGGGGTGAATTCATGCTAGGGAACGAAAGGAGCGCGGCCAGAGCCATAAATTCAGCATGACGGGTACCATTTCGGGTCACATTCGTAGCATTCATGCCTCGAGCGATGATCTTGTCCTTATGTACGAAAACACACCCTACAGGTGTTTCGTTTGTCCGAAGGGCCAATCGAGCCTACTCGTCATATTCAGTCAGCAAGTGGAATTTCATGAGAGCAAAGAACATCCTATGGAGCAACGAGGCATGGGCCATTGGTGTAAAGACGGCGGGTGGGAGAGGGGGCACAAGCTGGGTTGTAAGCAGTCAAGGCAGGTAACTTACCATTTCAAGCGCTTCCTCAGTGAAGTAGCTGTGTCGATCCTGCTCGGCCTGGAGTACCTTGAGTTCTTCTGGACTGAGCTCCGGGGCTATTAGCTCGTCTTCCTCGGGGGCCACGGGTGTAACTACTGGTGTTTCTTCTTGGAGAACGTTGATTTTAGGCGTGTTCTCGAGGCCAAGGTCGCCAAGGGAGGAAGCGAGGGCGTCCACATCATTGTGAACTGGCGCATGGTTCGGATATCGCTGCCTCTCGGGGGCTGTGCCAATAGGCAGGTTCTCCTTGTTCGCATCCGTACTTGTGCCCGGCGGGGCATACTTTTGGTTTGGGGAGGGCACAGAGACTCGCATAGTGTCGTGCGTGCCAGCCTCGAGGGCAGACTTCAGATCCGTCGCTTGGGTCAAGTGGGCAGCCACCGGTGATGTGTTCTCAGTTTCTCCAGATTCAGGCACGTTAGGTGGAACTGGAACAGTGACTGGGCGGTCAGGCGTGCCGGGCAGAGCGGTATGGGGATTCTGGGTACCCGGGATATCAGCTGGTTTGTCGGCAGCGGCGTCTGTGTGGCTATCGTTGACGGTGTTTGTATTAGCCTCGGGGTTTGCGTCAAAGGTACCAGCAGTGGCAGCAGCTGTAGACTGGCCGTGGTCACGCGTGAACAACTTGCGAATCCTTGGGCCGGCTTTGTCCAGTCTGAGGAGTGACTTGAATCTGGCCATGGCGGCTACTGATGGAAGGAGGGACCCACGGACTCGCCTCACGTCGTCCTCGCTCTCACTTTGCTCTCACTCTCACTCCCGCTCCCACTCTCTCTCTCGCACTCTCACTCGCCCACTGGCTCTCGCTGGCACTCTTGCTCTTCCTTGCTGGTTACTGGTCGCTCCACTCTTCTCACAATATCTTCGTCCGAAGCACGGTGCTAGCAGATGGGCGGTTGGGTACCTGCTCTGCACCCTGTTGGCCCCTCGTTTTGCACCTGCCGTTAGGTTCAATTGCCCTGCCTAGCCTGCGCGCTCCCAAACGCCTTCTGCTCAGCCAGTATGCTGCTCTCAAGATGATCCTTTTCGAAGGTAAAAGATGAAAGTTGGCAGCGACCAACCTGGATTGGATGGTCTCTCTCGTCCGACTAACCCGCAAGTCACTCCTCTGCCTGTTTTGTCTGTCTCTGTCTCTGTCTCTGCCTGCTGAGCTCGTTTCCACCAGTCCTACGTCCTCGGCCCTGAACCTTGGATCGTGATTCCGGTGTCTTCTCGCGACCAGTCAAGTCCGTTCTTCCTTCACCCGTGGTCGCTCGACCTCTCCGCCAGCAGCCTCGTCGCAGCAGCAGCAAAAGCGTCCTCCACGGTGATGGCTCAACCACGGACAAGCAGCCCCGTCGCGAAAACTCCGGGTCGATATGGCCGCCTCGCACAGACAGAAGGAAATAAAAACAACGAGGTAGGAAACAGTGCCCGCGAAACAGGACAGCGAGCGCGGGGAGCTGGCAAATAAAGCAAGGCCGCGCTGCTGGCCAGAGGCGAGATCCAAAAGACCCCCAAACCTCCACGCCCACTGGCTTCCCTTTACACCGCTCAATCGAGGCAAACGTTGCCCTTTCGCCCGTCCTGCCTCGCACCGAAACGTCAAAGATTCGCTCCGCGTCCTCCCCGGTGTCGCTCTTCCGTGGGTAGCACAAGTCGCTGACTCCACTGGGCAGCCACCACGTTGTCTACCGGTCCAATCCAATATATTCCCAGTATCGCTTTCCTGTGCTGCTCACTGACCCTGTCAATTAGGACGGCACGGGCTGTCTGTGTCCTCCAGCTTGTTGTTGGCGCATTGACGTCGCCCATTCGCTACGCCCATAGAACTTTTTTTTTTTTTTTTTTTTTGCGCTATGGCTCATGCGCCGCCAGTTTGCCTTACCAACTGAGTGCCCACTGTAAATTTGCAACAGCTCCCTATTAGGGCCATTAAATGCGGTCTTGTGTCCACTGAAGGCGGAAGCTTGGCCAATCACATGATTGATTGGCCGTTAACTACACTGCTGCCCCTTGCACAAGCCAACACCACCTGTCCGACTGACTGAAACAATTGACGAAAGCGCGAGGCCAGAGTTACTTGCTCGGCGCATTTCTGTTTTTATCCCATTCACTTCTCGCAGACTTCAGCAGTATCCGCGCCTAAACCTTCTTTGCAAAAAATTACAAGACCGAAGTCAGTCATTGTCGTAGTGACTTAACTTCGTGTCCAGATTCATTTCAATAGGAAAATAAGCTAGTATCTAACATGGGTCCTTCTTCAGAGAGACCGTCTAAAACAAAGGCAGCGCGCTTGCTATGCTGCTTGGGTATAAAAGACATTAAACCAACCAAAACCTCTAACCAGATAATCCAAGGCTAAAGTAACCCTCGGTCACGTAGCCAGAGTCAATACCGGATAGACCCATTCAACAACTTTTCTTCCCATCGGGTCGTCAATCGTTGGCAGTCTGCCGCAATGCTGCTGGAGCATTTTGACACATTAGAGAGCCTGGACCAATTGACGTCCAAGTAGCGGTACATGCTCATGCATGTACTTGTTCGTCGATCTTGAGGCTTTCACCTCGCAAGTGACGGTCGACAGAAGGCTTTGAGATGCCCTCAGAGCTTTGTGTTTCGTCGATTTGGTCGACAACCATCCTTGGCTGAGACAAGAAACTGCTACCACGCTGGCAATCGCCATCGCAATAATCAAGTTCCACGCTGAAGCAGCCTGGGCCACAAGCAGCGTTAGGCCGTAGAATGCTATCTTGACCCGTGGATCTGACGGCAGTGGAGCATTCGTACTTGTCGGCAGCTTACTTTGAATAAGGCCGTGGCCGTGACAAAGTAAAACTGCTGGCAGGTGAACAGACGACTGGCCAGCGGATCGGTCGGCACGGCCAGCTTGAGCGGCGGCGGCGGATTGAAGGCTATTCGCATTTGCTTCTACAGCGGTTAAGCGCTGTGGCTGTTGCATTTGTAGCAGATCAACGGAGGAGTGAGAATTATCGTGCGACGTTGCCGCGCGCGATTGTTCCCGAATTGCGAAGACCGCATGCTTCAGTCTTGTTAGTCCCAAGTGCACCCCAGTCTTTAAGGTGAGCATTTGCCATACCGTTGCCGCAGGTTGATCATCGCCAACAATATGTTGATCGCCAGCATATGCTGCTTCTTGTACAATGTTCCTACGCCTCGACACCTAGAAATTGTCAGAATCGTCTTCACTCGCTGAGCGGCTGTACATACGGCTTCTAGGTTCGTTATTTCTCGTGGCTCAGCAACGGAGTCAACGCCAGTGAATGCATATTCCTTTATACATGTTAGCCAGCTTGTGGTAGGTTCGTCCGAGAAGGGCACGTACGTCAAGGCCAGCCACCAATGGTGATTGCGAGCCACGGCTGCTGCTGAGAGATGATACCTTTTTAAAAATTAATAAAACGAATTCTTCAGCTCGGGCAGATTGACTTACGCTGTCGCTCAACTCAGGCGTGGAAAGAATCTGGGATCCAGTGCTCTCCGAGTGAATGCTATCGGCAAATGATACCTTCCAAGACGTTAGCCTCAATCCAAACAACATCTCCCAGATGTCACTTACACTATGCGGGCTTGCCGCAAATGTTTCTTGCTCAGATCGGCTGGATGGTACCTTTTCAGAAGTTAGTCGCTGTCCAGGCCAAGACGCATAGGGGCTCCATACCGTGTGGCCATCGCGTACCATCAGATCGGCAGACGCAGATTGGATCGCAGATGCATTCAGATGATCTGACGTCCTATAACCAAGCGTTCCGTGATCGGTCGAGCGAGATAGTAACCTATTGTGATCCTGGCCATCGCCGACTACCAATTGTTCTGCCTCACTTGGCAGGTGTATCGTGCCATGTACATCGAGGCCATCGCCACCATATATTAATGGTGATTGCGCAGCACCGCTATAGCGTGCAAGATCGCTTTCGAGGTTTTCACCCGATGCACTAGAGGGTGTCGATGATGCAACTGAGAGCATGCGATCATCCTCTGAGAAGGTAGATTGAGGTGAGAATAGGTTGAAGTCGGTGTAGTCGGTGTTGACAGGAATGTTGAAGTCGGCTGCCGGGGTAGCATTCAGTGCATGTTGATCAACACTGAAGTAATCGGTGCCAGCATATGCTTCCTGAAGACCAGAAACCACGTTCTCGTGAATCGAGTTTGGCGAAATAGAGTGGCGGATTGGTTGCGATTCGGGGGTAGAGAAACTGGCGGACTCGGATGAGATGTAGCCCTCTGGGTCGAAGAAGAAGTCGTAGTTATCGTCGACCTCCTCAACAGGATATTGGATAAGGTCTTCCCAAGGCTGTTGCTGGGCAAAGTCGAGGGGCATGAATGTGTCAAGATCAGGTGTAAGAGAGAAGTCGAAGTCTATTGAAGGTGCAGGTGGTGGCACTGATTCCATGGCCAGTGGGAGGGCCTTGGCCACAGTTGGCTCCTGTCGCGTCGCCTTGGTCTTCTTCACCACCTTGGCGGTCGATGGAGCAGCGACCGGCGAGGCACCACCGCGCTTCTTATGACTGGGGTCGCATCGGATCTTCTTCTTTCGGCAACTGTCGCAGGCCTTGATAATGCGCATCAGATGGGCATGGTCGCGCTGCTCCTTGGTCTTGGAACCGCGGGAAGCAGAGTTGGTGACATCAACACCCTCCTTGGTCATGATCTTCATCCCAGGCATGTGGGAGAAATCACCAGCGGGCTGCTGTTGACGCGAGGAAGCGGTGCTGGCCTTGCGAGAGGTCTGAGGGGTGGACGAGCCATTGATGGAACTCCAGTCCCAATTTGAGGTGACAGGGCTGACATTGAGAGAGGAGGTGGAGACACTAGCAGGAGACTCAGGAGAAGCAACAAAGCCAGCGACGGCGTAGAACTTGAAGGTCTCGCCGGTCCTCTGGATGTGGTCGAGGAAGTCGAGAGAGATGGTGGCGCGCTTCTCCTTGATAGAGGCGGGGCCAGGGAAGTAAGCGTCCATCAAATCATCGAGATGCTTGGTTCCGAGAGCAGGGAAGAACTGCAGAGGGGCACCGAGCATAGGCTGGTAAACGGAGAATCCCTGGGGAACAGAGGCAGTGGACTGGAAATTGGCCATTACGCTTTCGTGAATGGTGAACCAGGAAGGGCGTTGAGAGAAAATGGTGAGAGAGTGCCCGGCTGGTTGATCTGGTTCAATGTAAGACGAGGCGAGTCCAGGTATTGCCCGTGCGGGCCGCACTTGGTTGACTTACGTCAAGAACAATTGAATTGAGCCCGGGATGCGGATTCAAAACGGGTCTGACTACGGGGGCGAGCTGTCTGGGACGTCTGGTGTCGCGGACTTTGGGGTGCGCGCGAAGCTGCAAAGATGATCCAGCTCGAAGAACGGATGCTGGGGAATAGTGGGGATTGCAATTGAGATTGGAATCGGGGTATGGACTTGGGGAGCAGAAGAGAGCCAGTCGTTTGCGCCAATTGGGGTGGGATTGGGCAAGCTGGACTGGGGCTTCTACAACACAGCCAAGTGAGCTGGGGAGAGTATGGGGCAGGTCTCAAGAGAGAAACGAGGGTCAAATCGACTCGCGATATGGTGGAAAATGGTAAGAGACCAAGAAATCGAGGAGTAGAGAGGAAACCTCAGGCTGATGTCGGGAGGGAGTCATGGCCGGTATTTCAGTATTGTCACCACCAAGGCGTCAGCAAGAGCCTCGCGCATGGCGCAGCAGGCCGAGTGGAGTGCCAAAGGGGACAGACACAGAGTCTTTCGGCGTGCTCAAACAGGTCTAGCGCCGACAACAGGGGTCTGGCACTCTGGCCAACCAGCGGTCGGCATTCTCGGCTGATCTGGCCATCGCCGGCTTCCCACTGGCTGTACTTGCCCCACCTCATGCAGAGGCCCCTTGGAGCTTCGGCGAGGCAGAAGGCCCATCATTGGCCAAATTAGGGCTTCAGCACGGGCCATCTGCATCTGTGACTCAATCATCCTCACGCTGATGGAACATCAGACACCACCGTCCCCAGAATCCAGCACTGAGAACTTGACCGCGCGACCCTCGGTAAGGCAGGCGGGTCCTTTTGCCTGCCAACCAAGACCAGTCAAACTACGGGACTTTTTTAATCAAGGCGGATCTACGAGGAAATGAACCGGACTCCGGCCCTCTAGGTTGCAGGTTCCTCCAGGAAGTGAGAGGGGGACCTGCCCTCTTTATACTCCGTCGCACCGAGGGCCACCTCCTAGCGCGCTTCATGTCCATTGCTGCCATATGCATACTGATGCCTGAAGCTATCCACGCTGACCAGGTGATTCGATGAGGGGTGGTAGATGTTGGTTGCCTACGATTACTGTTGTATTCGTCGAATCGCACTCTTTTCCAGATGTGGTGAGCGGCTTATTGTTGCAGAACGGTCAACTCGTCGTATGGCCTGCTTACTCAATCCGGCATGCTACCCTACACTCCGCCAAAGCTCAGTCAGCACAGAGCGGTTGGAGGAGTATCCAGAGGTTAAACAGCCTGAATATAGTGGTTTAATAGTTTGCTTTCTTTGTATCTGCTTGATTTGCAGTGCAAATTGGTTTCTGAATACCTAGGATTCTAGGGAACTGTTGAAGTTCTGACTAATTTAGTAACTTCGCACGCTCTACATTTCGGGTGTCACATGTGTGAACAGAGTGCAATTTAATTAACAACTTGCAATCACAAGGCAGGCTAATAATCTGCCCCCGTAGCTGTGTACCACCTGAAAATAAATCATCAGAGCAAACTAGACACCAATAACCATCTCTGTTGGCGTTGGTGTTGGCGCGTTTGTAGAAGAATGCCTCACCTAGCATCGCCACAGCTGCGCGCTGCACCACACCCTCAGCCACCACTAGCCAACTGGAAATTACTAACTCCACCAGGTTGGCAGCCGCTGAGCTCCAAAGGTTGAAAACGTTACTGCAACGCACGGTAACGCGGGCTGGAGCATAATTTTTCCGAGGTCCACTAGGCACAGATAAGGGAAGTAAACCAAAAAGCCTGGCTCTAATTCATCGCTGGCAGCAAAGTCACCATTACCAATGGCTGTATTATTTGGGCGGGAGATGGAAATTAAATGAAACTAGACCAACTAACGACCTTTTTCGAATATTATCAATGATGGGGACGCGACCCGAGGGTGCCGCATCGGCGATGCTGTGCAGGGTGGCAAGCGAATCTCAGCAATCTACATCGCGGGCATCTGAGCTCCCAAGGACTAAGGTATGTAGGTAAGGTACCTAGGCATTCATTGTTCGATATAGAGTTTCAGGTGAAGAGTCACGGCCATGAGGTGAGTTTGTGACTGTAGGTGCAAAACTCTGGGCGCGAACCTTCTATTAAACTTTCGGGATGACACTTAAAACCTTTCTTTTTCTCGCCTCACACATATTTCCTTCCTTCCAGAAGCAGGTCGGTCTGAAATGCGAGGAAACCCTCGAAAGCTGGCCCAGAAAGCCCCCGTTAATTGCTTCGTATTGATTGTCACTTGATGAGCTTGTCGCATATGCCCAGTTCAACCAAGCAATATGAGGCAGAGTCTCCCGACCAAAAAAATCCCTAGCTCTGGGTCTGCGTGCCAATTGGCGCAATCACCACGCATTGTTATGTTATGTCTGCGCAATATCTACTAGACTTGGAGAGGGGTAATTGCATCAGAAGGTTGCCCATTGAATAAACGGGGGCGACCTGTGCCTCTATCGACGGCCGGCAGGCTTGTAGCTTAGGCAGTTGAGATCTGCTTTGTATGACGTGGAGAGACGAGACCAGTTCTTACCAAAGGTTCACTTGATATTTGTGTATATTCTACCTCATGTCACGTTATGTTAAGGGTATCATTCATGATGTCATTACATACATTAAATCCATGATGGGCCGGTGGTGTTTGGCCGTGTCATTCCAAGCAGGTCTTCCGCATGTCTGCTCCACGCACCTCCATTAGCCCTGCTGAACCCTGCGAGTGTCTGCGCGGACCCTTTGCTGTCACGGGATGGAGCGGCTTTAGGCGCTGCTACTTTCTTTTTCTCTTTCACCAACGTAGGGGCGCCTATGGGACGAGTGACAGGGTCGAATGGCACCAGTGTTTGGAGTATCTGGCCTGCCGCGTCCGCTTTGCTTGCCGCCTTCTTCCCTCGGGTGGCTGGATTGACCAGCCGGCCTTTGGGTTGCGGATCGCTCAGCTGGCGCACTAGACTTGGCGGTCCATGTCGTTTGATGGCCTGCTGCTCAACGGGCGGGGATTCACCCTCTAATGACAATGACCGATGCAAGGTGGCTGAAGGAACATCTTCCTGCAAACCGATACGGCCAATGGCAGAGACAAATGCGTTTGGGATTGAGTTATTGTCACCTGGTAGTTTGAACCCAATTATTTCCTTGCTTTTGATGCTCTTACGTGACATTCTCGTTATTTGAGGACCTGTGGACTTTGCCTGGTTCTGCTTCTTACTTCTCGCTGGAGCCGCCCTGGTGCGAACCTGTTGCTTGGTTGTTGGAGCTGGCCCCTGCCAATCGTCGCTGTCTTCTGAATCGTCTTTGTTCCATTCTGGGCTACCCTTTGGCATTTCTTTCGGCGGGGATTCCTTTGGCGCCCCTTTGGCTCGTGGTTGTTTCTCTTTTCTCGTCTGTCGTGGTTGTGGCGCGTCGCTCTCGTCCGAAGAACAGTGGGCGGGATTTTGAACTTCCTGGTGCTCGACTTGGACAGCGTGGCTGGCTATTTCCGGCCTAGGATCGCTTGTTGCGTCAAAATGGGGTTTTGGTTCCTCCTTCTCCGCGTGCGCGACTGCGTCTTCCAAATATTGGTCATCTGCTTCTGTAGGCTCGATTTCATCTTCTGCTGGGATGCTTGTGGTTTCCTCGGTACGGTCAGGCTCCGGCGCAGATTGTTTCCCCTCCAGCTGTGAGCTGACTGCCGTGTCAATTCTGGGGGGTTTTTGGGCACCGTCCGTCTCTTTTTGTTCAAGGGTTTTCTCGACTTCAGTGCACTCACTGCCATATTCCGTGGCAAGATTACTTTCACTGACATCCAAAGGAAATTCTTCGCCAAGCCAATGCTCAAAGCTCTCTTCCGCGGTTGGTAGACCTTCTTTGTCCTTAGGCGGTGGTGGGCTTGGAGAGCGCTCGACCGGCTTGGCAGCCGTCTTTCTTTCTGCTAACATCATCAACCCCCTTTTCCTCTTCGATTTAATCCGTAGCGTGGTACGTGGTTGAGTTTTGTCGAGAGCGGGTTCGGACTCATCGTCTACAGCTATCGGCAAATCCTGGGCTTGGACTGTCGGCGAGCGTTTTGTGGGTTTGCGTTGGTGAGTGTTAGGCGCTTCATCACCGGATTTGACAGTTGATTGTGTTTTCTTTGTCGATTTTGTAGCTTTCGGTCTTGCCTCAAGACACACCACTTCGTCCTCTTGTTTCTCGACTTTCTTCGTAATTGAATGAAGCGAAGGAGTGGTCCTGGAAAGTTTGGTCGGGGCCAATCTATTTGGAGCACAATTTTGTAGAACTGAGGTTTGGGGAGGCTCCGTTTCTTCGGTTTCGGGTGGCCTAGTCGCTTCAATTGGACGAGGCTTCTTTCGTGGCGGCATGTCTTCTTTACATGGCGCTGGGCCCCGAGGATTATCATAGGTGGCCACATCGAGGCCCCTCTTTGCCGTGTCTGAATTCTGAGCCTTTCGTTTGGCTTGAATATTGAGCGAATTCAGCCGTAGGCGGGCTTCTTTGGCGGCGGTAGCCGGTTCAGGCTCTGGACCATCATGTTTCCTCGTATGGGTTTCTGACGTATCTGCGGAAACCCGACCATGCTCCTCTTCATCCTCGTGAGGTTCTTCTTGTACAATGTTCTCGGATGAGGGTCCCTCCTCGACTGATGAGACCAATCGTTCCCTCTGTTGCTCGCGCCTGATTGTCGTTTGATCCCGCGGGGCCCGGATCCGTGCTGTCGATGTACTAGCCGACGAAGTCAAAAGAGAAAGTTGCGTACCAAACAATCCCCGCGCATGACCACTTTTCACCGGCGGCGATACGCTTCGCTTTCGTCTCTTTGTAGGTCTCTCCGTCGTGCCTTGCTCTTGTTCTCGCTGCTCAACTTGACGAACCTCGTAGGGTGATTGGCGCGGCACCACAGACCTCCCAATCCGGCTGGGGGTGTGCATAATCGCACTTAACGGGCGCTGAAACTGCACGTTGTCGGTCGGTCGGGGCGTTGGGCTCGCGCTCAAAGGCTGGGCTGCTATCCTCATTCTCCGGGCCTCGACTTCCTTGACCCTCTTGTCCACCAGCTCCCCCAAATCATGCTCACTCGTCCCGACTTGTTCACAAACTTGTACGAGAGCAGATCCTCGGTCCAGTGTGAATTCTTCGCCATCAACCATGTCCTCTTGATTTCCTGGCCAATGACTATCACCAATATGATTTCCCTTGTTGTCGTGCACAACTATCCGCTTGTTGTAGGTGTGGAATTTGAGCTTCCCATCTTGCCACCTTTTCTGATTCTTTCGCTTCAAGTCGTGAGTGAAGAGGCAGATAAATTCGTGGACGGGCGCGGTCGTCGTAGCTTGGCGAGCAGGCGGTCTTTGCACAACCCGGGTCTGGAGGCTCGACGCCATGGCGGCATATGGTATGCTTGAGCCCCAGAGCCGAGGATTCCCTTGGGCAACGATCGATAATCGGGATTTGAGTCTGAGTACGTAGATAGTGGGATGGTGGGATGGCAAGAGAGACACTGGAGTCAACGCGCCCTACACGCGACGTGCCTGGAAGCTGCTACGCCAGATCACGTGACGTTGATGACATACGCTAGAGGGTCCCTTCATCAGACCCACACCACATATGATGTAATATCTTCTCCATGGAATGTACTGCTTCCAAGGTTGTTGTCAAACGGCCGAGGATGGGCGGCTCACATGCGCATTCTTCGTGCGAGTAACCATGGATAATAGAAATAAATTTGAGGCATAGGTATCTACAAACCCTCTTCTATTTCGTTTCTCGTGGAATGTTTGATTCGTCTAGTAGGCCTTTTGTATGTGTTGTTGATCAGGCCATGTAGGTACAAATCTTGCCCAGTGCGAAAGGTTGGTCCAAATATAAGATGCTATCAAACGCCCTGGCCATGCTCCCTTTCTCTCTAACTCCAGGCTAAAGCCATGCACAAATAAATCAGATAGATTGCCTCCAAACACATAAAATGCGAAAGCTAAGAAAGTAATGCCCCAACGCTTGAGGGAAGAACATAATGGATCCCCTTTGCCCTCTAACTATCCGCACCTTTATGAAGGAGTAGTACATCCAGCACCTGAAAGAAAATGTTCAGGTGGCCGATTTGTGCGCTATTTCTGCGTACGATTATCCCCTTGGGTCATCTCGAAATAGCCATTGCCGCCTCGTGAAGATTCGAGCTCCATGGGTGTAACTGGGCCGGGACTACCCAACGGGTGCAACTTCGGGGCGGAGGGGTTGTGAAATGGAGGGCCGAAACTGAGGGCCTTTCCTGGTAGGTTTCCCAGCTTGGGAGGCCCAGATCTGCCGTGCCCGCTTGAGGATAGAAGCTCATTCGCGGCCAAAGAAGCCTGGGCAATCATATCGCGCTGATATTGTTGGAGCTGAAGTTTGCGACGAACATCAGGCTCGTGAGCCGACTTCGATGTTGGTGAACTGTTGATGAAAGGTTCGAGTTGGTCTCTAGATTTGGAAGATGAGGACGAGACCGTGGCAGATCTAGTCCTAGTCGCGTGTGCCTTCTGTTGGTTTTCGTAGTTTGACGGGTAATACTTCCCCATGGGAAGTGGTGTGTCATGACATCCCGTCGGTAAATAGGATGCAACCGGGATACTGTTGTGCGTTGACATGCTGGAAGACAATGCTTTGGTGGCACTACTCCCTTCGGGGCGCGTTGAGAAGTCGGCAAGGGTCAAATCTCGTACGCTCTGGCGATCTTGGCTGTGAAATGGATGAGGACGATGAACTCTCGTCTTGGGATCCTCATGCATAGGGAAGTATCCTCTGTTGATTAAGTGTGAGAAAATGCCAAATGAGCCCAAGACAAACATGGTGAACTCCACCAGAGATAAGAACCTACCCAGGCAAATCACCTCGTGCAGAAAGTGGCTCAGGTGGAGTGTAAACCGACGTCGAAGTAATTCGTTTGATACGAGGTATCTCGATAGCAATAGGCCCACTTCCTGTGTCGGTAGCTTTAGACCGCAAAAAAAATAAGTGTCAGTGCAGATCAGAGAATCGGCATTGATAACGCCTAGGGGTAGGTGTTCTTATAATTTTGGCTGGCAGAGGGGTCAAAACGAAGCAAAGGGCTAGTGCAATGAAATCATGCAGACGGAGGGGGGGATGTCGACATCTAATAGGCCCAGAAACACGATCATCACCCTAGGTGATATGACATGTGGTGGCCAGCCAGAAGAAGACGGTTACCCCACGATGATCGTGTCAGGAATTGCGGGGACAGCGAGGGAAGTGGCGTAATGCCGTCGGTTGGCTTGGCCTAGCCTCCCCAAAATCCCTCCTCCCTTTCCCGCTTGCGTTGCAACACAACGGATAGCAGGAGATACACACATGAGTAGTGTGCCATCCCTGGCTCTTTTCTAAGGGTGGGGGAAGAGAACCCTCCTGGCGGATTGCGCGGCTGGCTCTTCCATCAAGGTTGTTTGCTCACTTACCATTTGCAGCAGAGTGAGGTAAGGCATGAGGAAACAAAAACCGAAACGAAAGGGTATGATGAAATGGAGGGGAACGAGAAGAAAAATCGGGCCACTTACAACGAATTGATGCTTGCTCGCTAGTACTTAAGTCGGCTGTCGGAGCCAGTCTAGTCGACATGGTACCCGGGGCGCTACCCACCGTGTGGGAAATCGGAGGCGTACCATAACGGCGATAAGGCTGATTTGGAAGCCATGTTGGAGTAGTCTGGCCGGATGTTGTTGCGTGCTCGCCACCGTCATCAGACTTCTCGGATGATGCAGATAAAGTGCGACCGGGCATGGTAGGACGGCGATATGAAGAGAAGTATGAGTGAGGCTTGAAAGAACGTGAGAAGCCCGACATTGTCGCTGTTAAAGCTTGGAGAGAATGCTCTCCAAAGGTCTCCCCGTTGTAAGTGAGTAGTATTGTGCAAGGAGCGTCAATTGGGCAGCAGCTATAGGCTGAAAGACACAGAATCTTAGAATATATCCAGGCGATTCTTTTCAAACTCGTGGTTGAATTGATTGTTGCCCAGAGGTCTGGCCTTCCTGGGGCGGACGATGGTCAAAATTTGCCCGTTTAGCTGTGCTGATTTCTCCCAGACATGCACACAGCCGGCTGTTGAAGCGATGCTGCTCGGTGCGGGTAGGTAGGGGTGCGGCGGCAACCTTGCCCGGGAGACTGGAGCCTCTGTGAGGGCTGCTCAGCAAACACTAGGATCCTTGATCGACTGACGATACCCTTTCGCGACTTTAAAGGTATAGATGGTCAATGCGATGCAGCTGGCTGTCACCAATGGGGCAATCCGAGACGGGCCACTTAACGTCCTACCCACAGCATATCAGGGTCTGCCTATGTGCAGCTAGCCGGACGTAGGGAACGAATACGGTAATGAATGCAACTATGAGGCGAGGTGAATCTTTTCTCGTGAGTAGGAATCCATCAGCCGCTTAAAAAGCTGTGTAATGTATCTGGGATGGATGGTGGGAGGCAGAGAGGGTGGGTGAGACTGCACGCTCCTTGGGGAAAAAAGGCAGTTCCTCCTTCTGATTCCCACGTAGTATGGTACGCTGTCAGAATGAGACTAAGATGTAGGAGATCTCTCGAGAAGAGGTAGAAGAGCAGCGGGGTCAGGGAAGATGGGGGTTAAGGACAAGGTTTGATAATAATGCAGCGTGAGTGAGCGGACGTGAAGGAAGAGGAAAAAGAAGGAAGGCGCTTGGGAAGAAGAATAAGATGGGTGTGATCGGGTTCGTTGTTGGGGAAGGACAAGGAGCGGAAACAAGCGTGAAGTAGGACCCTTGCCAGGGACAGGACCTAGCTGTGTGGTAATAAGGCACCCAATGCAGGCGCTTCGGACATGGACTCGTACGAGAGATCCTAGGCCCCGATGCCCCGTTATCTTATTCAATGGGTGGTGTTGTCTCGACGAAGGCGCAAAGAGACAAGATTGTCCCCATCGGTTTCGATGCTTGTTGCAGATCCTTGTCTTGATGGATTGATTTCCAACAATATGTGTAACGTATTTGTATGCCAGGCATGCACGGGAAGGGCCAGCGAAGGCTGCCTCTGGCCTGTTGCCTGGGAGGCCATGGCCTGACGTAGCCGGCGGGATTACGTTTGTCGTCCTATCCACAGCGGTGTAAGGCGAGCAGTGCAATCAAGGGCACGACGCAATGCGACATATGCACGCAGCACGCAACACCCATCTGCGATTCTTCAAGCCGAAGGGAGTGGGAGACAAATGGGAGCGGGCGGGGCCAGTGATGGTGCATGGTGCGGCGTTGTGGGGAGGGAGCACCGTGTCCATGATGCACTGTCTGGTCCTCCCTTCCCTTACCTGTCCTGGATGGTATCAACAGTGGCATCCAGCGCCAGCAACTAGCTACAAACTGCCCATCACAGCCCAGGTAGATGCGTAACGCACCGGAGAATTCTTGAGAGACGGAATACAAGCACCTTCTACAGTAGTACGCCAGTAGCGGGGCAGTGCTTGTGAGGTCATGTGGTGTCTAGCGTGTGCGGTCAGAGCTGATTGCCGCGCACCTTCCAGGCGTTCTAATAGCGTCTACCTCTTATCATGTGGAAGGGTACCCACCTTCAGGTATCGATCAAATCGGGTACATTTCTTCCCAGACTTCACAGCAAGATGCGCAGGTAGCCAAGCAACCTGACCTAGCCCAATGCGCTGGCTTGAATTCTATCCTGGTGAGATAATAGTTCCTAGCACCAAAGCAGGTACAAACTCTGTCCTGCTGTCCCCTTGATTAATGACAGAGCTGGCGCCGCCACTTCCGCGGAAGTTATTTTTGGTTGGCTGGCATGGACGGCCGCCTCGGGAGCTATTTCAGCGAGCATCCACCACTAATTACTACACGCAGGGCAGGGCAGGCCGGTATCCACTGGCGGACGTCACTAAAGTTGTGGCGCCTGCAGCCACCTCATCAATCACACTGAGAGAAATGAGAGGAAGAAGAAGAAAAGCAGATAGTGAGGTGGACAGTGGATGAAACTACGCTTATCTACCTACTTTGTGGGTAGCGATTACCACGATATGCTCGTATATTGGAGAAATTTATCTCTGATGTGGGATTGTTCCAGTCACTTTGAGTGGCCGCACGTTGTGTGAGATAACAAATCTGAAGATTGAGCCTCTCGTATCAAGCACAACTCACTGATAAGGGTACTAACCTAACGACAAGTCACAGGTAGGGTGCTACAATACGAAAAATCCCACCGTGTGAAATGTAATTGAGTTGAAGGGCCAAGGCGTTAGTTCTTGAGCTTGGCCGGACATAAAATTTTAATACGCGTGATGAATGCCCATGCCAAACAAAACACAGCTACTTTAGCGCATGCACACAGCAGAACATGGTATCGAAAGCGTAATTAACAAAAGATGCGTATTTCTTTGGCGGACACCCACCAATGAAATTCAACAGACCGCGTCTGTCTTTTGAACTTTGCCTGCTAGTGCGGCGTCATAAAGAACACACCTCCAGGGTAGCGGGAGAATGGGCGGGCTTCCAACACCCATGATCCCTGCTTTTTCTAGGTCGAGCAGGGCCAAATCCTGATGTGCGCTCAGCTCATTAATGAGAGGCAGTTTCTTCGTCGGCCAATCTGCTCCGAGGGGGCTCTGGAATTCTGGCATACCAAAGCAGGTAGACGGGGCAGCGGTTCTGAGAGTGTGACCACGAGGCGGCGGACGCCTTGTTGGAGCCCTCCCCTCCCGGGCACGGCATGCCATACGCGGGCTGACTCAATAAGCGTACACGCGTGCAGGTGTGCCAAGGCTGTGATGAGAGGCACGCGCCTTGCATCACAAGATTGTTGGGGAATTACTAGCTACCCAAACGGTACGGCAACAAGGGCAAGTATAGCTAGCCCAAAATATCTTTGAGGGCTTGTGTGCGTGTGTCAGATGAGGCAAAGTAAGGTACCCAAGGTATCAGATCGACATGGGATCAGCAAACGATTATTGACTGGAATGGATATTTTAACAAAGTGGCAAGTGGGTGACATTGAAATTAAGACACTCAAACAACAAGCTGCTTATTTTCGAGTCTGCGACTGGTATTGTCAAATTATTAAATGCTTATAATATATTTTAGAGACAATACGGCATACATTATCACTTCATTTCATTTTGTGCGACTGAATTTCTCTACTTGTTGTAGAAAGTAGTCTGTTCATAGCCACTCTTCTCTTAGGTGTCTCGATTCTCCTGCCACCCACTCAAGTGGGTGGATGGATGGATGGCCGCTGCTGGAACATCTTGCCCTCCTCCTTACGAAGATCTTATCTAGATGACCGGTACTGCATCCCTTTTTTCATCGAGAAAACTGAAAGCCAATTATCAATTCTCTTTCCACACTAATCAAGCTGATCTACTCGTGCTAGACCCTTTTGCCACCGTCGATCGTCGGAGCCATGCCAAAATACGTGTCGTGCGGGCAATGTGTATGACTGAGACAGGTGAAACCCACACACTCAACAGCGATGGAGGGCACTCGCCGCTGCTCTAATATGTAAATCCTCGAACCACTACTGCACGTGTGTCTGGTAATAAACACGGATCAGCAAAATTCATGCGGGACGTGGTACCGAATGTGAGCTTGTTACGCATTTATGCATGCGACTGAACCTGCTTGCCATTCCATCCCGTGTTTACCAAGCACATGCTCTATGGCCCATGCACAATGCTTAGTACCTCAAAATGCACATGACATCAGGGGATTGATACTGAATTTATTTTTCTGGTTATTTGATACGTAGTGTAGGTATACGTATGAAGAATAAAAGAGCCAACGCTATCAAACCTCCCTTTTTCAATGGGAATAAATGTAGAAGAAGATAAGAAAAAGAAAAAAGAAAATAAACCGTGCCGAATAAGTGATAATAGCCTCCAAAAAGCCTGTAAATAAATATAATGATCATGCTCAAGGGGACTCTCCAGCGCCCATCATCATGGTCGGCCGTCCACGGTCCTGACCAAGCGCCCTGCCCCAATAGGTGTACTAGTTTGGCCGCCTTCCCTCTAAACGTTTGAGGGTTGGGCACTTCTGTCCTTGTCTTCGCGGTTGCGGTTCTTGCGCCAGTAGCAGGCAGTGGCGATGACCAGGAAGAGCCAGGTCAGCGCGTTGACCAAGTCTACCCAGACGGCGTCCTTCATGCGCTGAATGTCTCGGTCGCCCTCGGCGTCCTTGTTGATGTAAAGCTGTAGGATGAAGGCGTCCCAGTTAGTAATGAGAACAGGAGCAGTGAAGACAAGCTAGGGGAACAAACCTTGCCGAAAAGCCCGAAGACTGTGATCCATAACACGAACAGGAACAAGTCCCAGAAGGTCATGAGGAGGTTTGCGTTATACAAGAATCCGGGGATCAGGTATAATAGACATGTCATAGTAGACATGGCGCCTAGAACCACGGCGAAGACCTGGATGGGTTTGTTAGTCCAGCTGTAACTCTCCTGCCATGCGCTTTGGGAGACTTGTCCACTCACCATTCTGGGATCGATGTCCTCTTCATTTCTCGCAGAATGTTGGATGTCGCTACCGTAGATACCGCATACTGCTAGGGCAAAAACAAAGGCGATACCATGGAAGATGGTGAAGAAAATATAGCTCTTGCTAATTGGAGCGCAAGCCATGATGTATGCTTCTCTATTCCAATAGCACAGCTATTGACTGAAAAAAGAATAAAAAATAGTCCAGCTACTGGTTAAAAAAGGAGAAGGGAATTAATAGACCAGCTATTGATCGATTAAAACAGCTAAGAATGAAGAAATAGACCAGCTATTGATTGAAGAAAGGAAATGAGAAGGCGTGGAGAGAAGAATGACAAGACAGAAGTTGTGGGTGGTTCTAGGTGGACTGGGCCGATAGATATTAAAAGGAAAAATCTAAAAATTAACCACGCCGCTGCAAGACGCGCGCGTTCGAGTCTCCTAATGCTTTCGGTTTCCTGACTTGCTATGTAAGTGTATGCCGTGAGCAGACGGGTGCCAGAATCTGTTTCCGATGCTGACATGGATTTTGCCCCATCTTTACCAGCCTTGACAGGGAGGAGCAGACGGAGGTACGTACAACATGGGCCCACCGTTAATCGTCTTGTATCTATCGCCTGATTCTCATATGTATACACTGCTTTTTCCGAATAGCGACGTTTTCTTGCCTTTCTCTCCAGGCCTAGGTGAGAGAACCTCAATTGCTGTCAGTGACGTAGGGGAGCCGGGTGGATGGCGATCTTTAGCAACGGCAGCAGTGATTGTGGATGCTGATGTGTCCACTGAGGGCGCTACCTAGGATCTGCCGTTAGGGGTTAAGATTGGGGGGCTTCAGCGCAGGGCCTCTGACAACCTCAGATGATGTGACGTCGCTGATTCCCGCTGGGACTCGCACCATATCCCACGTGGGCACACAACAGCATCTTCACGACCCTCCAGATGTTTTGGTTATTGAGAGTATCGGTCATCGGAAATTAAGCTTTGTCAAGTATTATACGTCTCCAACGGCGGGGTTATCTGAAATTTGCCTCGACATCTGTGTGATGTGGTGTACCAAGCCGGAAGATATGGTAAACTTGGAGGTTCACGGATATTTGAGATGTTACACCCTTGCCGTTCTTCACCCACATAATAGCGTGCAGCTGCTAGCAGGGACCAGGCTGCGATACAGGACAGAAATAGCAAGAACGCCTGGGTAGGGAGACGCTCGGGAGCGATGAACTTGCCGTAGGAGCGATTGCCTACCTTCTTGTATGTCCCTGTACCTATTTGTTTGGACGATTTTACCAAGGTAGATTGCTCGCTTGGGAATTTATTCAGGACTTGCCACTGCAATCTGGAGCAGCAGTTATTCATACCTACGCGGGGGAGTAACTCAGCCCGACAGCGAACTATCTCTTCTGGGCTTCTAGGTCGGCAGATTGGAGGTTTATTAGAACAAGGCTACATAAACATATTTCGAACAGCTATTAATAAATACACCGAACTCCAGGTATTCTGCGCCGCTTTATGGCGCTTGCTTCCCAGTGATTTTTATCCAGGTATCATATGTTTGTCGTTGAGCTGTCGGCTCCTCTCTAGATGAACCTCTCGGGCGATTAAATCTCAAACTCAAAACAAGTATGGAAATCTGTAACTTGGCGGGCTGTCGCAGCCATCGGGCTCTCGGGTCGTCTGACGATTACGCGACTGCGGTCAGTCACGGAGGGGCCGCGTAAAGTGCTTCCGTGTCTCTGGGATCGATCCAGCCACCATATCAGTCAGCTGCTGCTTGTTTCAAGCCAAAATTGGCGAATGGTTCGAGCTAGCTCGCCGGTGAAGGGGGCGCTTTGGGCCAGCGATGTGTCCCATCCAGATTTGAGATCCCTTTTGTTAATGTCTATCCTGAACCTTTCGACCCTCAATCTGCCGCCGTAACAATGACCCGGGGCAAGATATTGGACCCAGGAAACAAGACTTTCGAACTCCCAGGAACCACCTTGTCTCTCACAGAGGGTGTCCTCGACCAGCCTCTAGGCCAGATGGAGGGAGGTTCCAATACGTTGGGTTTGGAATACCAGTGAGCTGGGAGTGGAGGGAGAGGTGACCCGGACGATGTGTAGAAGCCGAGGACGCGGAATGATCCATTGCTCTGCCTTTCTCGTTTTCGGGAAAACAGGCCTGATTTAACATCTCTGGGGTTGCCCGTAGGCATTTCGCCGGATTTCTCAGCTTGGGGATCCGGGTTTTTCTGGACACTCTCTTGCTTCTTTGATAGTGAGAGGCGGAGACGCATCGTGAGTCGAGTGCTGTGCGTGCGGCCGGATATTGACCGACCACAAGCATTCGAGGGACGCAATTCGGTCGGGTAAGTGCAGCATGTCGGTTTGGTCTTGAGGAAATTTTTTTCCTAAAAAAAAAAAAAACCCTGGGTTCGTTCAGTTTATATGGCTGGACAATGGGTGGCCGTGTCCTCTGAGGTAGGCGCACTAGCCAAAGTTTCTTGCCTAGCCGGAGGATGCTCCTGAGGGATGCAGTCACGATGGTATGACAATGGGGCTTTTTTTTTTAAAAAAAAAACAAGACATCAACCATCCAGCGATTACGCCTAGTAAGTACTATGGTGGCGGTGCGCATGGCTTCTGTTTCCTAGGCCTGGGCTGTGCTGCTGCTCCACCTGCATAGAGGTTGCCTGTTCCTGTCGATGCCTAAGCTTTCACAGCAGTTGAATATGTGTAAGCAGTAAATCCAAGTCGTATTCAGCAGTAACAGCCGTGAGGTTCAGTGCTACAAGGTGGTCATGCTTGCCTTTTCGGCGTATCGCTGCTGTTACTTCCTCCCTAGCGTTTCAAGATGAAAGTGTTGGTGCCGACTTGTAATGTAGTAGGGCATTTATCTTGGAAACTTTGGTACAGCGGATGGATAAAAATATATTCATTGATACAGGTATCATTCCTTCCTGAGCACGAGTTGTACTGACTGGATTATGACTACTGAGATTTAGGCTGATATTGACCCTCATAGAATATATCGCAAGTAACCTTTCATAAATGAGCTGCATCTCTTCAATGGGGTCGAAACAGCCTTCCTGAAAAATAAGGGACAATGTGTCTGTTTAGTGGCACCATGAGAAGTTTTTAAACTCTGATGCTGCCGCCCCTTTCTGCCTCTATCTTCGTGTTCCCACCCTCTGCGACGACATTCCTTCAAGTTTCTGGACCTCGGTGGGATGGAAACCGTACGCATTGAAGCGGCGGGCGACTTTGTGAGTTGATCGACTTCGAGTATGCCGATAGAACCCGGTCTCGAGAGAATGCTCAACCTGAAAGACGGAACCTGTTTGCATACCAAGCCGTCGGCACCTCTGGGTGACCAATTATGTGTACGGTTTTTCTTGTCCAGCCTGGTGCTTGCGCCTACGATTCATGTCTCACTTTGGTCGACATTTGCCGCCTGCCCGGATATGACCGCAATTATGGGAAGCCTAGAGTATGAGACGGTGTAGAAAGTCCTGAGCGGTTGTTCCAACCAGGACGCTCAACATCCCCTATCGACTCGATACAATTAAATTACCTGGACTGGTAGTCTCATCATTTGTTGGAACGAGAAAAGTCTCTCACATGACGAGAAATTTAGCATCGGCCAAGAGGGAGGTCCACCTCATACCGGGCTCTCGAGCCCAAACCTTGCGTAGATACTCTAGGGCGCGTCGGATATTGCCAAACCCATTGCGCGCATAGTGCCTGAGGAAGACGTTCTCGAAGAACTCCATGTGCTCCTCTGTCTGGCTCCCGGACGCTGCAACAAAAGATGCCCAGATCAACACCTGTTCGCCAGGTGCACCGGCTGGGTAGGCCTCTAAGGTTTCTTTGAAGTGCTGAACACGGGCAATGGAATTTGCCACGTCCGTCTCGGTAGGCGTCGAGCCAACGAAGAAGAACTGGTGAAGGTAGATGTCGAGAGCTTGTTGGACCAGGTCATTCACAAATGAGAGCACCACGGCGCTCTCCGGATTGAACGATAGCTTATGGCTGAGGCTATTCAGGAGCTGCGCAGCGTTGGTTGGGGAGGATATGACCTGTAAGGCAGTCTCTTCGTTTAGCAGGGGAGCAGAGTAGACCCGCAACCTATTTTCACTAATTAGTTTCTTCTCAATGGCTGGCAATGAGTAACGCATTGAAGTTTTTGGGAACGCACTTGTTGACTTGTGAAAGGATAAAAGCAGCGGCATCACTACTGCCTAGGACACCGTCGCCTCCGACTGCCTGCAGTGCTGACTCTAGCATCCGGAAGAGGAACGGGAAGTCGGAGCGCCCGGTCACCATCGTTCCCACAATCAGGACAAGAATTGTCATCAGAACGGAATGTTTCTTATCGATGTTGCATGTATCCAGTTGGTGTTGCTGCTTCAAGCCGCATATAACATGCTTGTACAGCTCGTTCGGATCGGGGATGCACTGGGGCGAGCTGCCAAAGCGATACTGGTCTGACCCAAGCACGTTTAATCGGAAATGGAATGCGGAGACAGTCAAGACGGCGTTCATGACCAATTCGTCATGCTGAGCGAAAGGGAGAATGAGGTGTCGCCAGCCATTGTGGAGGCCATCCACGGCGACCATCTCATAGCTGATATGCTGAGAAACTTGGAGGCCATTTGTTAGCAGGTGGCGGGATAGCACCAGGCATGAAGTACCCACAGAGTTGAAACAATTGCGTCTTCCATGAGGGGATATTGCTTGGAATTGGCCACGGAATATCGTAGCCACTTGAGGAGCAAAGCTCACCGACCATTTGAGCCGACGATGATGCAGAGTGCAATTCAAGAGCACTCGCTGATATTATTTCCTCGAAACTTTCCCCAAGATCCAGCGACTCTGGGATGGGGTCGATGGTATACTCCTCCAAGACAATACTGGCCATGGCCGGAGCAATTATTTGGGTTTCCTCGTCATCGTTTCGTGTTCTCTCGGTCTCGTTGGATTGTCCGTTTGCGGTGTTGGCCACTCGTTTGGCCGTATTCTCTTGGCGAGCAAGGTTGCGCTTTCGGGCTCTTCGAATAAGCACGCCATCCTTTTCACTGTAGAGTGGTAACTGTTAGTCTAAGAGTATCATACAAGTGGTGGGGGATGGAGGGGCTGTACTCTTCATAGATGGCTTGCATATCAGCCTTGCCAGCCCAATTGCCCCGCGAGGCAACTCCATTCTCGAAACGATGTCGCACGCCCAACCCGCTGCACTCTAGACCGCGGGAGAGACATTTCTGGCATTGAGGCTCGGCTCGGTCACAGTTGACCCGTCGTCGTGAGCATTGGTAGCAGCCTGTCGGCGTCTAAGCTGGTGTCCTCATCCACGCGCGATTGCGAATCACAAACAGGGCATACCTTTCGTTTTCGGGATATATGGACGCTTCTGTGGCGGCATATGTCGGTCTTGTAATTGTCGAAGGCCTGGAAAGGAGGGAGGGAGAGGGGGAGAGAGGGAGGGTTGGGGTGCCCTGTGTTTGGCGGGGAGTTGGTCAAGGTTGCAGGGTTGTCAAATTCGGGACCAGATGATATCGTTGTTCCAGGAGTCGGTTTGTGGGGCTTCATTCATGATTGCGTCGAGTGCGGACTTGATGCGACAGCCATAGGGGAAGAGGAACGACGTCTGCGGGTTCGAGATGGGAGTGCTATGAGTGACGGAAGATGCAGAGTTGCAGCTGGATGCGCGTATCACGACGAGGCCATGAGTCAGCACCAAAGATACCAGGGAGAAGGGCTTATCTCGGAATTACCCCGCGAAAATGGAGCCTGCAAGACGACAGCAGATTGGAGTCGCGAACCAGAGCCGCCTCCACGTGCTGGAATCGGGTTCGCCCCGGCCATGGAAAATAACGTCCCTGAAGGCCTGAATGCTGCCGGTCCGGAGATCTGCTATCTGTGATCGAGCCCTGCGCTAATCTCGAAGGGGGAGGCCAAAGGAGAACGAGGGGCTGGTATGATATCTGATGTCGGAGAAGGGCAATCTCTGGCACGGGGCGCATTTGGAGCTATTCCTGAAGAGTCAGGCCGATTGAGAGCAGGTACCGATCCAATGCACACGCCCCCTCCCAGGCGTCCTCCTCCCGGCAACCCATCGCGAGGCCAGCCTTTCTAGATGGGCCAAGCCAATTGAGAGGACAGGGCCAAGATATTTCTTAGCGATGCTAGTCCGAAAGGGTCAGGCCAAAGGAGAGCAGCTTCCCATCAGCTTGCCCAATTCACTGTTCATGATTTGGTAGCCTGCACCAGATGTCAGTTGTCTCAAGTGTGGGGGAAACCCGACGTCGGTCGTCTCCTTTCGCTTGTGCGCGGGATACTATCTCCTCACCTTGGCTTGGGCTCGCCATTCACTGACAATGGTACAGAGTCTGGGTCTAAGCCTGGCTATGTTCAACGTGGTTTGTTCCAGTTCTGACTAATGGTGCACCCGCCACAAGGCACAGTTGTGCTATGTGAGGCCTTGGAAGGGTCTCTTTGCTGTAGAGTGGCAACTTAGCACCTGTCATTGAGCCTAATAGATGTCGCTTGTCGGAGAATGGAGAGTATCAGAAGACATATCTGACAACTCTTAGTCTTGAAGTCTTGGCTGCACATGATGGGGAAGAACAAGCAGTTAGAAGAAAGAACTCAATTAATTTTAAACACCTAATTAAACGCTTTATTTAAATTGACTTTACGACCTTCTCCAGAGTATCAAGCAGAATGTCTGCGTGATGCTTCTGGAAGACAAGCATAGGTCGTAGTCTCACAGCGTTAGCTCCGCTGCCTCCCATGTTCACACCAAACTCCTTAGCCTTCTTCAAGATCTCATCGCGCTTAGGGCTGTCGAAGGCGATGAATGTGCCACGGTCCTTGCCGCGGAGGTTCTGGAAGTGCTCGGGATACTTGCGAGACAGACCCTCGAGGTTCTCGAACAGGTAGTTACCGACCTTGGCGGTGTGATTGACGAGATCGTGTTTCTCAATCTCGTTGATAATACCACGGAAGAGCAGAGCTCGGACAGGGTCTCCCATCCAAGTGTTGAACTGGCGGTAGGGCTTGTTTGGTCGCAGACCTGGGTTGCCAAAGTAGAAGCCTGCTGCCTGCGCCTTCTTGGAGAAGGTGACCAGATCAGGAGGGTCCTGGAGGTTCCAGTGGTCGTGGGCCCAGAACTTTCCTGTGGCTCCAACACCAGTTTGCACCTCATCTACAATGAGGAGCACATTATGCTTCTTGGTGATGGCTCGCAGCTTCTGGAAGAACTCGGGGCTGGCGTGGTTGTCACCTCCCTCACTCT